GGCCGAGTGGTCTGCACGTTTGCTTTGCAACCATAAGGTCACCGGTTCGAATCCGCGTAGGGGTGGGCGTCCTCGCGGTATAGTCAGCCCGCGCGCGACTGGTGGTGGTCGCGCGGCAGCGAAGCGCCGTTACGGCGTACGGCTGACACATTATTATTATTATTATTATTATTATTATTATTATTATTATTATTATTATTACTGGAAACAACTTATATCCCTGCAGATCGGTTTTCATCTCCGTTTCCAAAACGCCTGCGTCGACTCAAAGAGAAAGCGTCTCTACAGAAAGACCACGTTGCAGTGAAGTCTCTTTCTTTTTCTATCAGCTTAGAATTGCGCTGTCCAGACCATTCTCGGAAATAATAGATTCCGAAAGGTCTGGCGGATGCTGAAACAACAGTGGTATTTCTCATCGAGTGTCTAATCCAGGCATAGACCTTGAAGATTTGAACCGCAACTTTTGTTATTTCAGTGCTAACTACACTTTTTACCCTTTCTCCCTCCGAGCGGACAGTCCCACAACCTCTTCATCTGTCATTGACATCAATACATTACCCAATCAACTGCTGAAGCTAGATTCCAACAAAGCAAGTGGCCCGGAAGGATTATCTCCCCATGTTCTCAGGGTGTGTGCTGAGACCTTGGCCCAGCATCTTGCTGACAAACAAAAATTTAAAATTGCCCACTGCTGGAGAAATGTTAGAACAACACGGGTCTGAAGGTCTTCGAGAAGACTATTCTTGAAATAATGCTGACTCAAACTCTTCCAGATGATCGGTTTCAGTTTGCTTATCGTAAACGCAGCTCTGCTGAAGACGCACTAGCCTATCTTGTACACTTAGTGTTGGCCTCACTGGACAATATGATCAAATTCGTGCGAGTATGTTTTCTTGACTATAGCAATGCTTTTGGCGGTGTAAACCGTGTGCTTTTTTGAGAGTCCTATATGATACCGGAATCCAACCTTCCACTGTCCACCTGCTGAGGGACTATTTCTCTGGATGTGCCCAGTTTCCTCTGCTTGGGGGTTAAAGTTCCTTGTTACTCACCATAGCCACCGGGGTTCTTCAAGAAGCCATTTTGTCACCATACCTTTTTTCCACTTATGTCGCTTCAGTACCCGCTCCTGATGAAGCGCTCTCGCTGAAATATGCAGACGACTTGGTCGTAGGTATCCAGCATCCGACCTCAGCCTCATCAGTCAAGTTACAAGCCTATCTGGACGACCTTACATTATGGTCTAGAGCTCATTTTTCATTGCTAAATGTATTAAAATGCAGTGACGTTCTTTTCCCCTTCACAATGATCGTCCTTATCAGCAACTTCTAATAGACCGCCCTGAAGTTCCCATAGATAGTGAGCGGTTGCACTCCACCGAGTCTGTGAAGTATCTAGGTGTCATAGCCGTGATCTATCATGGTCATTCCATGCGATCCTCCTCTGTCCCCTGCTACCTAACACTGCAATTTATCACCCCTTGTGTCTTACCTCACTGGACTTATTGCTTCCCTGTGACATTCCCCGGTTTTCTGAGGAAGCATTTCAAAATCCCAGATAGCTCATTGATACAACTGTCTCGATGTAGCCGGCCTCCGTTGACATCATTGTTTCTACTCATTCCAGTTCATGCAAAAGACGTGCTTCAAAAATGCTCGCTGATGCAAGTCACCCCCTTTATGGTGCACTGTCTGACTGTTTATCAACTTTCTCAACTAGACAAAAGTACAGATCCATTTATTCCCGTTTAAGAGGTTGCCACTCCTTCGTAATCCCATATTTGGTGCAACCAGACTTCAGTCGTTATGGAGCTTACAGGCAAATTTACATTGTAACAGTATTTCTGTTTTTGCTCCTTATTAAATTGTTGTGCATTTTTCTACAATCCTGAAAGCGTGTGAGTGTCACAGCTGTATGTTCACCCCCGGGTGCATAAAGCTCTTTCTTGAAGTGGTAATGGAAGTGAATCTCTTTGCGGCTAATGCAGTGTAGGTTCCCGTAATGATAACACTGAGCGGTTGTTACACCTATGTGAAGATGTTGGTCTTTTTCTCGCAAACACTGACTTTCGACACAGCACCCGCAGAAGGGTGACATGGCGCCCACTGGCCATGGACACAAATCGATCACATCGCAATCAGGTACCGCTGGATAGGCTGCGTCCAGAAATATCGCTCGATCTAGAGCACGAGTGTGGACTACGACCATGCTATTGTGTGTGCTGATCTGCGGGTACGTTTCAGCGGACTATCGCAGCGACACTGTGAGCGCATAGACACCAGTCAATTGGCGAAGTCAGGTGCTTGAATGCGTATCAAAGTACCCTGGCATCCGGACCGAGTAAGCGCTTACTGAACACGAAGATTACTGGTAGCATATTCGCGAGATGTTATTAACAGCTTGCTAATTTTCACGTGACAAATCAAATTGCCAACCTGGACATCGGGTCTCTACGCAATCCTCCGGTGGTCACGACTTACACAGCACAGTAGCTACGTCCGACAGCATTTGAGGACTGTGAGGACGAATGTTTTAGCTTATTGAAGAGTAGGAGCTGGTGAGCTGCTGGGACAAATCAGTCAAATTTCATCTATAATCCTCCTACTCATCAGCAGTTTAATTAACTGGTTATTCTTTTTCTGGACATTGATCGCCTTTCTTCCTGGTCCGTCCCGTTGGATCCGCCCTCATGCGCCGAAGTCGAACGTGAGACCCGACTATTCAAATTGAGTATGGCTGCAGGAGCAGATAGACTTCTTGCAGCGCTCTTCAACTTCCGGTGACCAGATCGCACGGATGAATTGCACAATATACTAGTAAAACTCTTGATGCAAGAGACCTCCCTCTCCAACCACGATCTCATTATTTAGGCTTATATAATTTTGCATCGTAATTTTTTTGGTGCACAACAGCCAGCTGGTAGCTTACCGGAACGATGCCCATCCGTTACCGGTAGCTCAACCAGCTTTCACCAGTTGCTTTTTTTCTCTCCTTTTTATGTATTGCGGCACAGTAGCTGAGGTGTTCTCCACCTCCAGCTAACGTGTAGTATGATGATGATGATGCAAGAGACTGTACCAGCAGACTGGATCCGCTCCGTTATAGTCCCTACTTACGATGAAGGCTCACGTTCTGAATGTGACAATCACAGAGTAATCAATCTGCTCTTAATCGCTGCTAAATTGCTTGCGTCTGTCATTCTCCACAGACTGACTGGCGCCCCTCTAAGCCGAATTCGCGGGGAGCAATCCGGATTTCGTCGAAATCGAGACTGCATTGACCACATTTTTCCATTACGTCAGTTGTTGTAACGCCGCCATATTTATTGGCAACCCATTGTGGCTGTTTCACGTCATCAAAAGGGCTTTCGATTCGGTGGGTTGATCTACCCTTTAGGACTGTCTACTCAGTAAAGGTGTGTCATATAACTACGTAATCGTCATAAGAGCGCAGAGTGAGGGTTTACGGTAAACTGTTGCCGCGGTGTGAGACAATGTGGCCCGCTCTCCCCTTCCCTCTTTAACTTCCCCATTGACGAAGTCATGGAAGCGGCGTTCACTGGACACAACCTACAAGGTGTGGAGCTGCTTCCTGGTGAGCGACTTCTTGAATTGGTGTGTTTACTGAGGACCTTTTGCTTCCACCTTGATCCTCGTTCTTTCACATTTGTTGTTTTTATTTCCTTAGGCAGCGCAGCCTCAGTTCAAATGGCTGATTTACTGATGCCCAGGATGCGGATATTTTTGACTTCTGGCTGGGCTGTCTGCTTCAATTCACTTTCGTGCATCCAGCCCGCATTATACATCGAATATTGACATTGTCCTTCCTTTACTTAAAAATTCTGTGTTGCGTCACCTGCGATACTGCTGCCTACGGTCCGCCATGCTTGGTGTCCAATCCAACCGTGAAATCGAAAGTCGAACTCAGTAGACGGTGTGTATTCCATGGAAAGGAACGGTTCTGTTTCTAGGTCAACCAAACTTCTAATTATGGGAACCCTGAACCCCCCGTCGTCGACGACTTGGCTTCAACCAATGTGAACCCATTTCGTTTTGCCTTGATTACCATATTTGGCTGTCTGTTTGTGCCGAAGTACGGTCCCCGTTCATTCAGTCCGCGCTCACCCGAGTTCGCTAGCCATTCACATCGCATCTGTGTTTCATATTTGGTATAACCTCGTTCACACGATCTACGCTCACAGCCGATACCTAACCGGCTTTGCCAACCACCTATATCGCACTTACGTTACGCTGTTGGTCGTCTGATCGCATGTTTGGTGTAACGCCCGTCCAAACTGTCGACACGGCCTATTGCAGTAACGCCGTGCATGAGTATTCGCTCCACTTCGCTTCTTACCGAAAATAATGCTGGCTTCCTTAACAATGTTTTCACTTTTTCTTTCAGCTTTTCTTCTGTAGCTACTGTTCAAGTTTGGCAGCAATGTAGGCCCCTATTATTTTGACTGCTCATTATGAACAGATGTTGTCCCTCTGTTCCAGACCTCTTACCCGGTGCATTTTTTGACATCATAGCTGACGATCAGCTGACTTGATGCAACCGCTATCGTTTCTTAGGCTACATTTTACGTTGGATTAGTCGAAGGGGAGAGGCGTCGCGTTGTATTCCACGCATCACCGGTTCGGATCTGCCTAAGTGCGAGCAACGTCTCAGTACCCGGCGTCTGATAGTGGTTACGTGGCGGCGAAGCGTCGGTATGACATACCGGCGTACTCCTAATGCCTTTGTCTCAAAAATGTGGTGTTTTTTGACTCGAGAATTACGGACTTCCGTCAAGGGCATTCTCCTCCATGAGTGTTTCTTAAGGCCTACATACGTCATTTCCAATCCGGGCGACGGAACCAGACACCCTCCACTCCAACCATAATGATGCACATTCGATTTCACGAGCCCTCGTTGTGTTGCCGTCTGTTTATGAACTATGTCATTCGACTTACCCTGTTAAATTCTATTTTATCTACTTCGTTGTCTTCTCACTTCAGGTGATCTTCCAACTCCAAGAGCTCACTCAAAGGGTGGTTTCATCGACAACCGAATGTATTTGTTTGGAGGTTGTCACAGCTTACATCATCCCGGTTGGCATCATTCCGTGGGTTTGTTACTCTGTCTTATTCTTTACGCACATTGCTCCCATTTTCGATAATGCACCAAGTTGCTCAGACTTTGTGGTAGAAATGTGCATAATCAGTTGGTAACAAGGATTTCGTTTCCACTTCCTCCATACATTTAATGCTGAACACACGTTAACACTGTCATTTAGGGCTAAGCATCAAAAACAGAACTATTTCACTTACCCACAACTGTTTTATTCTGTTGTTTACCCATAGTGAGTGCACTCGTTTTTGTTAGAAACTTAAGGCCTTATCCCCATCATATAGATTTTAAGAAAACGATCTTATCCGTCAAACTCATTTTTTCTCATTCTACCCCGGTTTCGTGCATTACTGTTTTGTTCATGCGCTCACACTGGACGGTATGCTTTTCACATGCCTCTGGTGTCCCGTTCGCGCTCGCCGGCGCTAAACAGCGCAACTTGCTGTGTTCGCATTGGCACTGGGGACCATATTCATCCAGATATTTGGATGGGAGAAAATTTACTACCTCGGGAACATATGTTCCACAGTGGTCTGTTCACATACAGTAATCAAGTTTTCGTTTACTTCCGGATTTACACGGCTCTATAGCTTCCTATTTCGACATCCGTATTTCTAGTTTAGTTTGTTGTTGGTCTATCGCGGTTCAGTCTTCCATATTATGTACTCTGGTGCAATCGAATTAGCAAAGGTTCACGATGGCTATAAGAGCAACTCATCTGACTATCGCTCGGCTCATATGACTCACTGTTTTGGAACTTAGCGCCTGAGAATCCGCCGACTAATCTCTGTGAAGAGAGCATCACACGGATCTAGTCACACAGATAGTCGTCTTCTGCGAAGTTGTTGCCTGTTTCTGTTCCGGTTCTTTTGAGTATGAAAAATCATAAATTTATCGCATACCAATAATAGCATGATCAACATCTGATGACTTCAGAAAGCCGACCCACATTCGCACGCTTAAGGCTATATACTATACAGCGGGTCGCACACCATTTGAAGCCACCTGTTGCTTGAAAACGCGCTTTATAGATATGTGTATTCAGTCGTGAGCAAAGTCCGCTGAACATATTCCCACAGTAAATGGAATCCCGCATGATTCTAATCGTCACACCGCAACTCTTTTCGTATGCGAACTACGTAAAGGGGACTACCACGCAGCGGAACGAACTGAGGTTTTCCCTTCTTCGGTTTCATCGGTATAGGTTGTGCGTAGTGACCTGTGTGGTCGCACTACGTAATGGCTGTCATTCACATGTCTGTTTCCGTTGATTACATGACCGCGCTGCAATCGTTGCTGTAACCACCAGGGTTGCGCATTACGTGCATTCTGTTAATCACAGCAACCGCTCTCGGTAATCGGGTCTGTGCTCTCATTCGATCTCGTGCAGTATAACGGAACAGTCAAGTACAGACCATTGAGTGAGGAATCAAAATCTGTGAATTATGATTTTGGTCATCTGTGAGTAGAAAGAAGAGCTGAAAGTATAACAGATAAGATGATTGTAGGACCAATGATAAATATGCAGCCGGCTAATGCCACGTTCTAACCCACTGTGATTTAGAAGAAATCATCTAGCGAACATGGGTTGTCTTGAAGCCGAAGCGGTGTAGGAGAATAGCTTTATTGAAGTAACTCGTAGGAAAGGGTGGAAAAGAGCGACATTAAAAGGCATGTTGACTGGCGTACCAAACATCGAAAAGAGCTAACAATAGCAGCTTATCACAGTAGAAGTTAAATCGGAAAAAGTGAAAGTGCATCCACAACTGTTGATAGCGTTTTCGAGATTAGTAAGGATGATAGCCTTCAACACCACCTTGAGGCGCTCAAACAGCTGACTTACCTTTACCAATTGGCCCAAAGGGAGTTGAAGAACCCTGGGTTTCAGCTCGCAAAAGACAGCAACTTGTGATCATTGATTTAATTTTACGCACAAAATAGGGCAAGTTCTCGGCACGGACGAAATTAGGCGTGCTAGCTATACCAGGGAGGACAACGAATCATGCATTTGCTTCCGATCCAGGTTTCTGGATGAGCTTACCGCGACAGGTACTTGATAATGTTTCTGCTCCATGGTTGGAATTGCTGGGCCCGCATATAACATCGCAGTTAAAGGGCGCGAATTCAAATCTCCAGTGTTGCATTTATGGTCTTTGATTTTCTTCTGGCCCAAACTATTGTACATAAAAGCGCCGGCATGCTGATCTGTAACCAACTTAAAGTGGTTACCAGGCAGCAGATGTCGCCATTTCTGCATTGCCCTAGTAGTAGCAGTGGTTTTTAGCGACAGTCTGTCGAATAAACATAGAGCCAAATAAAACCATAGAAATCAATGAAAGAAGACAGGTTTAACCACCTCATCCTCATCATGGCACATTAGCCTAAGGTGGGAAACACACTTCAGCTATTATACCGCAATCTGAGAAAAACGGAGCATTTCATATTATTTTACACGCCCCTTTTTCATTTTTCATTTTCCATTTTTAAGCATCTGCATCTAAACAGATATTTACACAGACCTTCCAAGAGTTTCGATTGCGCGCCTTATCCAGAATTGTTTCCAGCCATCGACACTCATCCTCCTTTGGTCCCCAATCAGGTAGATGTGTTGATCCAACGGTGCCAAGGAGTGAAGTCAACGATTTCATATGCTGTCACCAGATGGATGGCTCACCACCGCGTGGTCTCTTCCAGCAAATTCCTGCACGAACGTAAAGGGGTCAATGGGGGTAACACTCAGCTGACATCATCCTCACCATCAACACACGTTAGCTGAGGGTGAGAAACACGCATCCGCTAATTGGCTGCATTACATAAAGATAAGACACTAAAAATAACACTACAAAATATTCAAAAAACCAAGTACTATGCGGTTAAATATCATATCATTAATTTGCTATGAGATCGTGATTGGAGGGGCATCTAAAGAAGATGAGGATGACCAAGAAACTCAAAGATCAGAGACCAATGGGGCCGGCTTTTTGCCCCATCAGCAAGTATGTCCAACCAAACCTGCTCATCGTCTTTAGGACCCCAGCCAGGCAGTCGGGATATACTAACGGACACCAACTTTGAAGTGAGGGTTTTCATTTCTATCGACCAAGTCATCGCTTAGCCTCCCGTCCTCCTATTCCAACCGCACCCCCGGCGCGCAAACAATGCACGTCACAGCAGTCGGTATGCTGGCATGCGCAACACGTGCCTGGTGCATGATATAATGGTGCTGAGCGGTTCATTAGCTCTTCCTGCACCAAATACGCGACGCCGAACACGCTCATTGTTCACGCGGTGCTCCCACCCGACATGAGCTAAGCTGCGAAGGCAGCGATGATCGAATATGACGAGCCTCTTTATGTCTGTCGACCTGATGGGCCATGTTTCACAACTGTTCAGGTGGGTTGAACGGACGGCTGCATTGTAAACTCTGCTCTTCAAGGGGAGAGTGATGTCGCGTCGGCGCCCAGGTGGCGGAGATTGGCAAACGCACCTCGAGCTTTTGTTATTCGGTTCGTGACCTCATCTTCAATCCCACTGGCTCTAATATAGCTGCCCAGATACTTGAATTCCTGAACAACTTCTAGCTGATCGCCACCGAATGTCAGCACAGGGATGGCTTCCTGCTAATCTTAGAGAAGAACTTTGCATTTCGATGGAGCAAAGCATAGCCCAAAACAATTGGCAGCTAGTGCTAATCTGTATAGTGTTGCTGACATAGGCAGGACGTTGACAAACTATCTTAACTGACGTGGCAAAACCAGCTTGTTGAGTGGAATACTTACATTCCCTAAGACACGACGTCTGACTTCACTGTTGCAGACACACGAGCATTCCTCCTCAAGCACGCACTATCGATGGCTGGGAGCCGACGTATGTCATCCACGCGAACTGGCTACAATCCGCTTCCCTACAGTAACACCGCCCGAACGGTGGCAGTGTAAACACGACCCTGCCTCAACGATTTTGTGGACTTATTTCTCCACTGGAAAGTGGTACTTCTCGATGCGAGAAATGAAGTCTTTTGGTCTTCCGTCCCGGTTTAAGTCAGCTCAGATCACTACATCAGTGACATCTGTTTCAAGCATTAAAGGTGTATGAGGGTCGGTAGGAGCACGCACGGCATTCCTCAGTATTTCCTTTAAATCCTTAAAGACTTTTGGACAGATGGCCATACGGAAACTTCCGTGCTGTGAGCCAGTGGGCTAGTCTTATCACAGAAGTGGGGCTTCCACTGGGAGTAGTAAGCCAACATGCCTGTCACTCTCCGTTCGGCATTGATGTCGGTGGCCTCAGTCGCTCGGCATCAAACTTAACTAGTCCTTTAGAGATCTCATACTTCAGGCTTCATCTGCTTGGCCCCTAATACACTCTCTGTGTCATTTAAGATGATGTCGTACTTTAAAGCGATGTTTAAAATGCAATCTAAGTAATCTAAATTTCGTCGGAGCCTAATTTACAGATAGTGACGTTATCTGTATAGGCAAATATATCGGTCAATTTTCTTTGGAGATTCCTCCATTAATGGTTCTTTAAAGGCAAGAGACACCATTGGTTACTCTGAAAGTTATTCGACAGAATCCATAGGGTCTGCCACAGGCATCAAAAGCCTTGTACGGTCGTCTTTCAGGCTTTCTAGGGATCTAATGGTAAGCACTGTTTACACCCAAGTTACTGAACGTTCCAAATGTAGCGACCTTCTGGACCATTTTGGCCAATTTAGGCAGAAGATAGAGGTCGGGATTTGTGAATCAGTTTGTCGTTAAGCTGTGATCTACGACCATTCCTCGTTTGTGTCGTTTGTAGTAAGCTCTCCATAGTGATATTGATGGCTCGATAATGTTTTCCTGTGTGAGACGATTTATTTTAGAGCGAATAAAAGTATCGTCCTCACGATTGTGACGCCTGAACTTTGTCGCCACGGAGTGGCACTCTGGTGCGAGCTTAGTGCTAGTGGGGTTGCAGACACCCGGGAGTGGTTTCTTGCCACTGAACGGAACT